TGTATTTCATTGTTTGAAGGTTTAAATGGTCATTTCCCACACTCTGATGCAGCAGCGTAAGTGTTCTGTTTTCTACTTTGGTTGTTCGCAGGACCTTATGTCATGTTCTGTGTTACAACAGAGGATGCTTAAAATGAGAACTACATGCAATTAGAACCCTCTTCATTAGACCTGCTCTGAAACTGTATCTTTTTAGACTTAGTGAAAATAATGGAGGGTTCTATTTATGCCTATTTATATATGTAAATGCCACTGGAGGGGAAGGTTGGGTATTTGTGTGAAATCACAGGCACCATTTGATCTTAAGAGTCTGGTGTCTCAGCTGTGTCTTCCTTGAGGTGGTCACAGAGGGCACCTCCCATCTGTTCCCAGCACAGTCCTAGCAGAGCTGCGTGCCCTTTTTAGAGCATACACATGGGCTGCTGTGTGCCAGGCATGTGTGTTTGGAAAGAGCGTATGCCTGTGTGCTGTTGGTAGAAATGCTTACACCTGCTCTATTAAATTGGTGCTAGAACAGAATTGTAAGGTTAAATTTAAGTCCAGAATGAAAGAACTCTGTAATTCATGTCCTCTCAATCCGAAGGGTCACACAATGAAGGGAGCTGGTGTGGCCCTGTGCCTGGCTGTCACATCTCCAGATCCTTGTTGCCTGCCATACACGGGTTTCCTCGTGCCTCTTCTGACCTCCTATCTCTGAGCCTGACAGGCATGTGGTTTTCCTTTGTGCATATGACCATATTTGTTTGTATCAACATGACAGTGATGGATGTAAACCTCACTTTATTAAAAATATCCAGCACACAAAATGGGAATGGTGTGAACTTCACCATGTCATCCTTGTTTTCCTCGTTGGTTTCAGCTGTAATGTCTGTCTGTCTATGGAGGAAGGGAAAGAACTTCACTTGAATGCATTAAATAGTCAGTGGATGGTTTTTCTTTTCCTAAGCTTGGCGGGGCTTCTGCCAGTCTGCGGTCCAGGGATCAGGCAGCGTCACCGTAGCAGGACTGGCCGTCTTTGGATCCACGGAGGGCCGGCCGCCTCCTGGTGGTGAGAGTGCTGCTTCTCCTGGAAGCAAAAGGGTGCCTGCCGATAGCTGAAGCAGCGTTTGCTTTTTTTTGCAGCATTTCTATTGCACATCTCATGTGTTCAGTTTCAGAGGTGACTGCAAGGTATTGCTGGCATGGCAGGCTGGCAAAAGGTAAGACGGAGTGAGGGAACCAGCTGTCCTCGCGCACGGAAGCCTGGTGCCCCAGTTCCTACACCAGGCAGCTGCCTCCCCTTGTCTACCGGGTGGTGAAGAACCTACAGGACTGGGCAGTGTGGTTGTTGTTGGTGGTGGAGAGCCCCTCAGCCAGTCCCCATTCCCCGGGCTTATAGACCTAGGCCTGGGAAGGTACCTGCTTCTGCAGTAGTCCCTGTGGCTCATCCATTGTTTTTCAGAAATTTCTGGCTAAGTTTCATCATGTGCATGTGTTTTTTGAAGATGTAGATATAAGTAATTGACTGGAAGCAGTTTTCCAAACATTTGGTAATTTTGTTTACAAAATATCTATATAATAAAAAATATAAATTCCAGTTATCTAAACTCTGTAGTGTTTTGTGGATCTGCCTCCAGTCAAACCCTGACCCCTCTACCCTGAGG